ACCCAACCAATCAACCAATCCACAAACGCACTCACCCAAACATAATACCCAAATGTACGACCCTCCCAACCACCCAACCAACCACCACAGCCACCCAACTATCCACCACCCAATAACCACCATCCCACCACCCGACCGACCACTCAACAACCCCATGTTTTGGAGCCCGGCCATCCAACCGCCTAACCAACCAACCGTCCCTCCTAACCCCCCATCCACCCAACCAACCACCTAACCCCACAACCAACCACCCACCCACCCAACCACACAACAATCGAACCACCCAACCACCCACCCAACCACCCAACCAACCAACCAACCAACCCATCAAACCACAAAACCGCCCACCTAATCACCCAACCAACCAAGCAACCAGCCACACAACCACCCATCCACCCGCTCAACCACCCGCTCAACCACCTAACCCAACCGCCCAACCACCCAACCACCCAACTAACCAACCGATGTACTACTGTTCGTAATTATTAATATTTATTTTTTACAGCTGAGAGACTAGACTCATTGTGTCCGTCGCTTATCGTACGCATTGTGTTGCCGTCATCTTTCGTAGTGTCGTCGGCTAGCAATTGAGACTGTTCATAATTGCCAGATTCACTTATTCAACCTTGCGACACAACATGACCGACGTTGTTGTTGTTGTGAAAGAGGCTGTGGATGGAAAGGAAATCGTCGTGAGAGAGACAGTGTGTGAGTGCGATACTGAAAACGAAAGAGACTTTAAATACTGGGAAGGGGTTGTCGCCACAAAAACACGTATGTACTACGCGTTCATCGATGACACCCTCGCTTTGAGGGTCGTGGCGGGGCTGGGGTACGACGACCATGATTGCCTTGATGAGGTTGTAATGCACGCAAAAAAACTTTCAAATGTCATTCCTGACGCCTGCGAACCCCCCGACTTCGATATGATTGGTCATTTGCTAAGGTGCATTGTGTCAGTCGTTGTGGTCGAGCATGTGGAAAGGTTAGCACCCAACGCATGGTATTTCTCCAAATTCGACAAGCCGCTGCAACGCCGTACTTTTCTCCATGGAGATGTGCGCACTGTGTTGTCAATTGACGGTTGCCGACAACAGTACCAAAGTGTCAACGAACCATCACCCCGGTTGTCTCATGCTTAGTCCGAAACAGGTAGGTTGACTCACAAAATCGTAAAGGTTTTTAACATTCGACAGTGTTCGAGATCGCGACTACCCGCTCATCCCATATATATGTTTAAAGTGTGTTCCCCCTTCTCGTGCGGTACATGCAGAATATCATGTTTGTGTTATTCGTTGCTCGATCGTTAGGTTCATAACTTACGGTGTCGGTTTCTGTGAATTGCAGCACTTTTTGAACGCCATACGAAAGAAGCGACGATGCATTGCGCGCCAATGATTGTCCGATGTTACCACACCACGAAACTGACAGGCGGCGACACCGTATACTATTACAAATCAATGACTCCCGTAACAGATCCTGTCGGCGATGCAGCAGGATACCGCAATGGATACAAGAAGGTGGATCGTCATTTCGTTGTCAGCATGGAGGAGGAACGAGTCGTTAGACTCACTACACAAACTTATATTCGCGACCACGCCATCAAACACGTTCGTGTCGTAATGTCTAAGCCAACCACGTACTTCAGTACCTTTGTTCTCAAACCGGTCGACGGTGATTTCATGTATGATATCGTATTCCCCCTTGTGCATCGCATACTATACATACACTACGGAATGGTTGCTCGGGACGGCGTCTGGCGCCTGGTCGTGTCACCGCCTTTTTTTGTCTCCAATGGCGAGAATTTCTCTGCCATGTTTTATCCTTGCAGTGTGACCCAACGATGAGTACCAGAATATATTTTTTTTTTATGTTTCTTCGTTGTTGGAGAGAGAGAAAATGATGGTTTCAATGATTGTACATTTTGTTTATACATATGCAAGCCCTATCTTTCATGTGTTTGTTATATGTTTTCATATATATATTTTTTTTGCCTGCTTTGCGTTTTGAATTTTTTTTTCGTTTTCGTTATGTGGAGGTACAGTAGGTACAGTACTAAGGTAATCGGTGTCCGTAATCTTCTGTTTTGTAGATTTCAAAAAATTCACACACAAGCGACATAACAATATTCACCTTTTCCCATACATGGACCGTTGACGACGCAGGGCTGGCGTGCGGGCCGACGCAGTAGTATTTGGAAATGGGACAGATATTGATCCTTTCCCCGACGAGGAGCTGACAGTCGCAGAGATTAGGAGCCGGTGGCCAGGACCCGCAGCGCTTTTGGAGGAGGCTGTGACTTTTGCTGGCCTGGAGGAGCATCTGCAACAGTGCATGAATCTGCTTATTGGTCGTGCAAATCTCGAACCCAAGCAAAATCGTTACAATGGATATGTCGCTTTTTCTCGGCTGCGCGGGTTCGTCGTTTTCCGACAGAGATTGTCAGATGAGTTCCAAACCGCAATGCGGGAACGATGGCCAGATACAGTTATTCGAGGTTTTGAACTGCGACAATGTGATCCTCCTGAAAATGCGCGTGCACGTCGACGTGCACGGCGGTAAATGCTTCACGACACGAGAGATAGATCGATAGATAGATAGATAGATAGATAGATAGATAGATAGATAGATAGATAGATAGATAGATAGATAGATAGATAGAGAGAGAGAGAGAGAGAGAGA